GTGCTCGAGCTTCAGCTGAACGTGCTCGAGCTTCAGCTGAACGTGCTCGAGCTTCAGCCAAACGTGCTCGAGCTTCAGCTGAACGTGCTCGAGCTTCAGCTGACGTCACGCCAGAGCAGACAACAGAATCAAACCTGCTTCAGATCTAAAAACAGATTCAGAACTCCGAGGACAGAGAGCGGGTCGGCCTGCTGACAGCACAGTCGCCTTCCTCACTCCTCACGTTCTCTGCAGGGCCTCACCTCTAATATCAGCTGATAACAGCTAATAACATCAAGGTCTTACCGTGCACGTTGTGCGCGTGTGCGTCTGTCTGACTGCATGCACTGAAACGAGGTTACAGAGTCTGCAGGAGCATTTCTCTGTGCAGTTAGAGACGGTTTTAATGACCCAAACATTGTGCTCTGCAGTGTGTGTGTGCATGTGTGGGTATGTTTGAGTGTGCATGTGTGTGTGTGCATGTGTGAGTATGTTTGAGTGTGCATGTGTGTGTGTGCATGTGTGGGTATGTTTGAGTGTGCATGTGTGAGTGTGCAGTAAAAGACAAAGCCCTCCTACATGCCCCAGTGTTCCTTATCGTAGACCAACCTCTCCGTCTCAGAGGGAACATTGTTTCCCGTCCTCCATGCTTCAGTGGTCACCTCTGCTATAAATAGACTCTGAACACACACACACACACGCACACACACACACACACACACACACACACACACACACACACACACACACACACACACACACACGCACGCACACACACACACACACACACACCCTGGAAACGAACCGCTCACCTGATCGTCAGAGTCATTTATTATCTCAGGTACAGAAAGAACGTCCTAACTCTGCAGGAAAACGAAGATATAATTTCAGAGTTGTTCAGAAGCAGCTGGAGCATCGAGTGAATTCATAAAAATATTAAATATATTTATTTGTTTTGATGTAAAACAAAACAATCATTACTTTGAACTGAGCAGATTAAAACGAGTCACTGAAAACTAGCGAGAAAATCTGACTCAGACACTGATTGGTTGAGTTTTCGACAGATGAGGAATAAATGTACAACTGCTGTCAAAGCAGCAAAACAACTATTTCTTATCTCAGACTTCCAAAAATCAAAATGACCCTAACAGATTCTGGAAAATCATCAAATCTCTCTCAGGCACTCCCCAATCATCTGACCTCCCATCACAACTTCTCATTAACTCTGTTCCTGTGTCAAATCAGCACGAGATCCTGAACTGTCTCAACAAACATTTTGTTGCTTCTGGTTCTTTATATGACACAGTTACTAATGGAAAATCAGCCACTTCACTTAATAACCAAACTTCTACAAATCAAATCCCTCCTACAAGTCAATCCTCAGTTAATCACAGCTTCTCTTTTTCTCCATTCTCAGTCAGTGAGGTCAATAAACTGTTAATAGATCTTGACCCTAAAAAATCTGCAGGTCCAGATGAACTTCCACCTTATTTCTTAAGGCTGGCTGCTCATATCATCACAGTCCCTGTGACCCACATCTTCAATCTCTCCATAAGACAAAACTCCATCCAGACACTTGAAAACAGCCTTTGTTCTTCCTTTGCTGAAGGGAGGAGACCCCACCTCACTGAACAACTATCGACCAATCTCTAAACTCTGCATTTTAGCCAAGGTTCTAGAAAAACTGATAAACTCTCAAATCAAAAATTACCTGGACTCATTTAACATCTTACCTCCACATCAATCTGGTTTCAGGAAACAACACAGCACAACCACTGCTTCACTGAAGGTTCTTAATGACGTTGTTGAAGCACTGGATGCTAAGGATTATTGTGCTGCACTTTTCTTAGACCTGTCTAAAGCTTTTGACACTGTGGATCAGAACATCTTGTGTCATAAACTCTCAGAAATTGGTTTCTCAGATCACACCATTGGTTGGTTCTCTAACTATCTTTCAGACCGGCAATATGTTCAACATAATGGTACTTCCTCCAGTTATTTAACAGTCAACAATGGTGTACCACAAGGCTCAGTCTTAGGACCCACCCTCTTTACAATCTACATACATAATGTAGGTCAAAACATCCCTAATGTATCCATACATTTCTATGCTGATGACACAGTTGTTTATTGTCGAGCTAAAACTGTTGCTAAGGCTTTCCAGCTTTTGAAATCTGCATTCAACATCATCCAGACAGATTTGTTTCACCTCAAACTTGTCCTAAATGCCGACAAAACCAAAGGGATGCTTTTTTCAAATAGGAAGTCGGTCCCAGCAGTTCTTCCTCCAATTTTATCCTCAAATGGTGTCCCCATTGAGTTTGTTGATTCCTATAAATATTTGGGTATCTTGGTCGACTCACATCTCTCTTTTAAGCTCCATGTGGAAAACTTGGTAAAGAAACTGAAAGTTAAACTGGGTTTCTTTTTCAGAAACAGA